ATGGCAGTCTGCACCACACTTTAGACACTTTTGAAAAAGTAAGCAATGCACTTAGAGCCTTAGAAATGTCAATAGCAGCAGCGTTATTGTCTAAAACACGTTGAATAGTTTCCCATTCAGACGCGTAATAACCGTTACACAACCAAGACACACTGCGACTGAACATTTGAAATTCAAACTCTGAATTTCACAGATCGCGCATGCGCAGATGTATCACGGTACAGAATGCCTTCCCCTGATTGGTTGAGTATGATCATGTGATGCAAAGACAATCTATTGTAAAGACAGGAAAGAGCCCCCCTTATAGAGATAAAGAAACGTGAGCGCCAGGGAGTCCAACAACGCCATCTGTTGAGCCTACGCAAAACTATTTTCGTTTGTACGGGTGTACTACCCCTAGGCAGTGGCGGCTCGTGCATAGGGCTGCAGTCCCCCCCAGACACTCACTGCCAGGCGTATGATTCCTTTAGAGAGACAGCTGAATAATACACTACCAACAAATATATCATTTTATATGTTATTTAATTATTTTCAATACGTTGCTAAGTGAATTTTTATTAAAATCAGACCAAAATTTAAGTTACTTTCATAGTTGCTGTCAATGCTGTACGATTCATGTCTGTTATTAATTGGCGCCGCCGCCGCCGCACTTGAAGCAGCTCAGTCTCGTACAACGTGTGGACGGTGTGGTTAAATCGTGCTTTGTGTAAATCAGAAAGTCTCATAGACTTGTTGGAGATGATGAATGACAATAATCTACAGTCAACATTTTCAGACATTGTCAAGTTGCTGAAAATTTTAATAACAACTCCAATGACAATGGCAGAAGCAGAAAGGTGCTTTTCAACTTTGAAGAGAATTAAAACTTTTTTGCGCAGTACCATGGTGAATGACAGACTGTCTGCTTTAGCAGTGATATCCATTGAAAATAAAATGATAACAGAAATAAAGGATTTTAATGAAATAGTAATAAACAATTTTGCTACATCGAAGAGCAGACACGCCGACTTTATTTTCAATTAATACTGGTCCATCACCACCTCGGCCATCCCTTCTACCACCAACACTACTACCATGCCCTGGGAATTCGTGGACATCAACTACAACTCATACCTGAGGTAGGTCACCTACTGTTGTGTGAGGCTTGCAGTCCCTCCATTTTATTTTTCACGAGCCGCCACTGCCCCTAGGAATGATAGAATTTTGCTTTTGACTTCTCTGCCTCTCTCCTTATATGTATGTATATATGTATATATATATATATATATATATATATATATATATATATATATATATATATATATATATATATATGCATATATGTAAATCACTGTAGTTGCGCGTGATCCAGGGTATATGCTGATAACAACATGGGAATCCCCTGTGCTCCTCTTTCTTCCTTGTGGTTATATATATATATATATATATATATATATATAATAATAATAATAATAATAATTAACGGTTTATTGAAAGAGCTTGGATGTCCAATGATATGATATATTATTGTAAGTTATATAAAAATCATCATCTTTCATAATTATCAGTCAATAGTGTTGGAAATTGCTCCAGTACTACAGGGAGAACTTATCATATATGTGAGTGAGATGGACAATTTATCATGAATATTCAGTGCACTGTATCAAGTCCTCGTCGAATATGATACAGAATTATTTTGTTTAAATCTGCTCTTAATTGTTATGGGCCTCGTATATGTGAATGACTGCTACAAATTTGAGTATCATTATGAATGACATGCTCATTAACACTGACTCCTATTTTTATTATATCTACTGCGTACAGTTTAACATATATGTTTTTTTTGTGAATATTTAATTAAAGTCATCCTTGCCTTTCCTTATCCTTTGGAATACATGAAAAACAACCTCTGGATTATCCTTTTTGTGGCGGTTACATACGGAACACCGATGGCCTCTTCCACTCACCCTGACATGTATTAAAAATTGGTCACTGTAGATAAACATGCAGACGATAAATTCATTTGACAACTATCGCCATTTATTGAAACCGCGCAGAACTTAGGTAACCAATGCTCACACGCGTTTCACCATCTTTTCTGTCTTCCCCATAAATAGTCTTTGATGTTTAGTTCCCGTGAAGCAAAAATAAACAATAAATCCGCAAAATTAACTCATCGATCTTAAACCCGCCAAATATATAAGATTTTTCGTTACATAATCCAAATAACACAGAACTATAAACTTCCGCTAAATACGCAGTAGAATAAAGTATTTTTATGCCCTGTCATTCTCTATTCAAATTAATATAAGTTCTCGTGTAACTACTCTACCGAAACTTAACCTCTTCCTATATCATAACGTTATCCTGTCATACTAAGTCGTTAGTGTTACGATATCGAAATGATATGTAGGAAAGATTGACACATTAATAAATATCAACGAAATTTGGGCATTAGTTTTATGCCGACACCACATAAACTGTGCTGTTAGCCTGTGGGAGTTATGGTATTTGGGGTCGATATAATGCTTCGGTTTGTGAGGGAGCGAACTTTTGACCCAACTCTCTATCTCTCCTGTATAAATGAATTTGTGCCTGAATTGATATGACCAAATTGACGTTCTTAATGATACACTGTTTTTTTAGATGTTCATATGTCAAAAACGTTGTTTTTTCAATATTAAATGATATTTTTCCGCCATAAAATGTTGGATTATGATTAACAGTTCATGATGATATGTCTATTGAATAATTTACATAATAATTTTTAATACAAGTGGTATAATGCTAAATGGAGATTACAGTAATTTGTGTGATGAGAAGTGTATTCCATCCAACCTGTTTTTCTTGAGTATTTCTAAAACATAATTAAAATGCCTAGTAACAGTCGTGAACAGTACAACATACAAATTTTGACACAACCATCATGCCATCACCACATAACGTTGAGGTCTTAAGCATCACCCGTACTCCGGGTCTTACCATGACAAACTTCATCAGAAATTTAGCCAAGACTGAAGAACAGTTGACTAACATTTATATGAGCCATGTGTCATCTGTGGGCTGGGTGTGGTGTTGGGGCACTGTGGGCTGGGTGTGGTGTTGGGGCACTGTGGGCTGGGTGTGGTGTTGGGGCACTGTTGGCTGGGTGTGGTGTTGGGGCACTGTGGGCTGGGTGTGGTGTTGGGGCACTGGGCTGGGTGTGGTGTTGGGGCACTGTTGGCTGGGTGTGGTGTCAGGGCACTTGGAGCTGGGTGTGGTGTTGGGGCACTGTGGGCTGGGTGTGGTGTTGGGGCACTGTGGGCTGGGTGTGTTGGGGCACTGTTGGCTGGGTGTGGTGTTGGGGCACTGTTGGCTGGGTGTGGTGTTGGGGCACTGTTGGCTGGGTGTGGTGTCAGGGGCACTGTGGGCTGGGTGTGGTGTTGGGGCACTGTTGGCTGGGTGTGGTGTTGGGGCACTGTTGGCTGGGTGTGGTGTCGGGGCACTGTAGACTGGGTGTGGTGTTGGGGCACTTCGCCTATGCTTTTCAGTGCAGAAAAAAAATCAAAATAATCCTAATACTGACCCCACCAAAAGAAGGTCCAGGACTGCAAATTCATGGGCAAAATCTCATCACTTTCCCTTCTCTACAGATACTACCAAGGTCAGTGGTCGGATGAACTACACTCAAACTCGCCACCATGTACCCTCAGTCGACCTACCACAGTATCTATGAGAACCGATGACTTTTTTTATTGAAATTATAATTTGCTAAGCCTTTGCCCACCATAATTCATTTATACCTCAGATTAACTCTGTGAGCCTCCCTTCCTTACAGTAGAGCCACCCAAAAAAGTTTAAAATAAAACATTGTCGATGAAATAGTTTTGACGAGTGTATTGACCCGCGTATTGAACACAGAACCATGATGATCATCTTGCTACACCCCCTCCTCACAGATGTCATTGCTCTAAGGTACGGTGGGCCAGTAGAAGGTTGCCCTCCCAATGCGTGTGCTGCTCATCTTATGACATCGATCACGCCACGACGTCATGGTGGAACCGACCCTCCTTCCATTGAACGGTGAGAACCTTCGTCACAGGACTTCAAACACATCAACAGAAGCGTGTGGACGTCAGTGGTCGAGATTTTAGACGCGGGACAGCGAGCCCTTTTTGACAAGATTTTGATCCCAAGCTAGTAAAGAAATGGGTTTACAGGGAGAGCTCTCGTTCAGTAGTCTAGCAGGTAAACTAAGTAAACTTGATATCAATGCCTCTCTTATTGGGTGGGTGGTGGGAGAGAAGATCGTGGTATGGTGGAAGATATTACAGGGTAAGCGGTCCGTGGCAGGAGTGAAGTAGGGTGGGAAGGATATTGCAGGGAAGGAGGGTCTTGGCAGGGTGGGAGGGAGTGTGGCAGGGGTGGGAGGGTCTTGGCAGGGTGGGAGGGTCTTGGCAGGGGTGGGAGGACCGTGGTAGGATGGGCAGGCCGTGGCAGAGTGGGCAGCTCTTGGCAGGGGTGGGCCGTGGGAGTAGGTGGTCCGTGGCAGAGTGGGCGGGCCGTGGCAGGTGGGAGGTCTTGGCAGGGTGGGCAGGCCGTGGGCAGGGCACCGTGGCAGGGTGGGCAGACAGTGGCAGGGTGGGAGGGCCTTGGCAGGGTGGGCGGGCCGTGGGATGGGTGGCCCGTGGCAGGGTGGGCGGGCTGTGGGGTGGGTGGCCGTGGCAGGTGGGCGGGCTGTGGCAGAATGGGAGGGTCGTGGCAGGTTAGATGGGCCTTGGCAGGGTGGGAGAGCCGTGGCAGGGTGGGCGGACCGTGGCAGGGCGGGCGGGCCATGGCAAGGTAGACGGACCGTGGCAGTAGCGGGCGGGCCATGGCAAGGTGGACGGGCCGTGGCAGGGTGGGCGGGCCGTGGCAGGGTAGGAGGGTGTCGCGGCTGACACCGTTCTCACGCTGCCGTCAGTTTTTCCCACGTGGTGGTGTGCAGGTCGGCGCCCAGGGCGCAGCACGACCTGAGCCGCCGCCGCCGCCACACTCGCAGCCCAACACTAGCACTCGCGCAGCAGCCAGTCAGTCCCCAGAATCACTGCGAGTACTACCGACCCATAAGCTCCCGCTGAGGTCACATGTGCCGCGTCTGAGCCTGAGGGACACAAGTTGAGTCCCATCGTAATATATCATCCACAGTCATGAAGGTGGAACGCGCTAGCTCTGTGTGTTCTGATGACGCGCCTCTCCCCGACTCTATCATGTCGACAGGAGAGTCGTCCCCTTTGGCATCCCCACAGCCATCTCCTGCACCCCTCACCGACCCCTACGATGACCAGCGGCTCTACTCGCCCGCCTACACGGCACACAGCCCCGCCTACAGCACCACCAGCAATAGCAGCAGTAGTAGCAGCGGGAGCACGGGGGGCGCCTCTCCCACCTACAGCTGTCCTGCCAGCCCCGGCTACCAGCGGTCTGCCTCGCCCGACTTTGGGTTCCAGTTCCGCCGACTCTGGGTACCCCGGAGTGGAGCAGTTTGGGTGCCAAGCAGAGTTCGTTCGAGCCGTACAGGACGGAGACCCACGAGAACTGAAGCGGATCTTGACGAGGTACTCTCAACTGGTGCAGATCAACGGCTTTACGGCAGATGGACAGACGGCGCTGACGCAGTCGTGTATGGACGGTAACCTGGAGGTTATCAAGGTGTTGGTGGCGCACGGGGCATCTCTGCACCTCACCAACCGTGACGGGTTTTCTCCCCTACATCTAGCGTGCTGGCGCGGCAAGTATGACGTGATGCAGTACCTACTCCGTTCCGCTTCCAGCACACGGTAGTTGTTGTGATATCTTTTAGCTTAGTGACCCGTGCCATGCGTGTGTGGTGTTGTACAGTGCCGTAGGAGCGGCAGGGACGGCCACGCTCGCCCTGTGCAATACTGAGTGTTTGTGTCGCCCAGAACTGTGCGGCCGACCAGACGTGTGAGCCACCGTGTGGGTGGTCCGCACTGTCTCGGCTATCATGATGTTACAGTCTGTGATGTTGACGCTGTGTACCCCGGCGCCTCCCGTGACAACAGTGCACCCTGACCCGTGCTCGCCACCCCTGGGGCTCCACCACCTGCCAACACCAGGGATGTTCCAGCTGCCGACAGCTCTGCCCTTACACACTGGCTGTACACCTAGGTCGCCCCGTCCTACAAGTTACCTCAGTATTATTCTTCACGGGCGTGTGGCGACTGAGGCGGCGGCCCTCGCCCTGGAGGGCAGCAGGAGGGCGTCCCTTGGCCCTGAGCTGCTACCCTAAGCTGGCTCCTGCCGGGGACCTGGCCATCCTCTACCGTGCCCTCTACACCGCCTCTTGATATAATTATCTTGACGTTGTGATTACTTTGTTGACTGAGTGAACAAGGATAGTGGCGAGGCAAGTGAGTGAGGGATGGGGTGCAGACGCCAGAGATGTGCAATATGTGAAGGTCATCACCCTGTGAGTGGTGTCAGCTGTTGAAATGTCGTAAAAGTACTATTTTATTTTTCAATGTGATACACGCCCATAACGACGCTGAAATATTAATGTATCTACTGAAGAAAACCTAAAACTGTGCTGTGTACTGTGCCATCTTCACACGTAGACTTCGTATCTTCACCTGGCCTGGACTAATTAACACAGGTGCGTCAACACACCTGCAGCAGCTGTACCTCAAGAAGACCAGGTGCGCCATACCTCACATCGTTCCCTCCCTACCTCCGCCGTATAACAACTGCACGACAATTATCAGGACTTCCTACTCCTTTCAGAAGTGAGGAGGAATACCTGATGTGTTAATTTCCGCGGTGGTGTCGACGGAAATGTGTAACTGGGAAGGGAGGGAGTGTGACAGGTGGTGAGACTCTTCGATGGTGTTGGTGGGCAGCAGAAAGCAAGTAACTCCTCAGCGAGTTCTTGCTAGGCCAGTAGGACGGAGAAGACCTGGTGACGTCACATCCTCGTTCCTGAGGCCGCAGCAGTGACACTGAGGATCCTATATGACGCCGCTCCCATGATCCTCTCCCAAGTACCAGCTCTTGGGGCAGAGATCCTCACGGGAGAGTTGCTGAAGTCGAGAATCCTCAAGTCCTGTGTGAAGCTCATAGGAATGATGGTTTACGAGTCCACGGCTTCCCAGCTACTAAGAGAAGAAGGGGCGCCTCTCTCCGGGAGGTGCAGGAGCCTCCTCACTTCTGCAGCAGCGCCGTGTTGGTGTCCCACAGGCGTGTGGGTGTCCTGCGGGCGTGTGGAGAGTGCGGATGCGACCTTCTCGGGTGGTCATCATACTTGTTGATGGCGTTACAGTGATACACTTGATCGTGCCTTAAGAATTATGTTAAGTTGTTGTTATCTGTTGAGATGTTTCCTTATTTACAACAGTGTTTGTTTTGATCTTCATCTGCGGGTGGAGCGTTGTATTATCAACTTCAGATATGATCATATATTTCTGAATTATAGTTATATTTTTATACTTGTGCATTTATATATCCTTCCTTGTAACACTGAGTTTATAAATGATAGAAAGAATAACAACAAAGCCATTTAAAGTTCTCAGTACAAATGAAACCAGATTCAGTATCATCTTGCTAAAAACAAGCAAAAACAAGAGAACATGGAAACACTAATGAAAATTATGATGCAGTTTATCTATTCAAGACTGGCACAACACTTACGGGCTATACATAACAATTATCAAATACGTAGTCATGACAAACGCTTTGTAACTTTACAGTATGAAAGAGAATCATTCAATTGCCCTTTGACTGAAAAAATAAACAATAACACCTGCATTGCATATCGAATATAAGTTGACTTTAATATAAATGACCAGTTGTATTGTTATTATTACCTGCCTAAGATCCCAAATCCCAAACAAACAGTTGAAAGGAAATGCGTTTGCCATGATTACTATTTTAACATCTGACTTTAACTTAATTTGAGACTAAGAACTAAATAAGCACTTGGAAGATGCTCAATAAGAGGATGGGAGACGGACACCTCCCTCCACTGCACAGTTTAAGGATGATAAGAGGAATCACTGAGATATGATTAAGGCTATCAAGTGGTTGGTCTACACACACACACACCTGAGTGGGTAAGAGTGCCAGTTCTCCAGGTAGTAGCAGTAAAGAGTTATCCTATACTTGAGAGGGAAGACAGTCCTGTCCGTCACCGTCGAAGAAACATTTCTACAGAAGGGGGAGAAACTTCCACTACTCCCCAGGTGTTTGTCTATGATTGGATGGGTTGCAGGCTCATCCACTGGGTGAATCATGAACAGTCTGCTCCTCACTGAACCACTCCCTAAAAAAGAGAAAGTATGAGTTGTATTGAGAGATAATGACATGCTTGCCCTAACACCACAGGTTCCATGTTCAAATAAGGGCTTGGGGTGTCTTTTTTAAGAACTTGTTCATAAACTGGAATGAGGCACGGTCTGTTTTATTTTAAACTAGTAAATGCTGGTCACTGTCATCAAGATCATATCGAGAACATCGTTTATTATATGAAAAATGTCTGCACGTTACTGGACAAAAATGTCAATAATACTAACTAACGGAACCTGTTTATTGTGGGTCAGTTTTATAGCTTGTGTGGAAAGATATGACATGGAATATGAATGACTTACTCTGAACACTGACAGGAATTCATGTTTAACACACAAAGGATTATATAAATATACACATCACTGATTCAAATGTTGCTACAAAGACACAGGGCTGGCTATGAGTCTGGGTGTACAAGTATGCACTACATCATAAAACTTGAGGCTGAAAAAGAGATGTTCCTACTGAATAAAACCAATAATTGCTACAGCCTCTCCCACCATTACACAAAACAAAGGTAAAAATACTATTACTACAAGTTCTGGAGCAGACAAGGACACGTACTGCTCATGCTGGAGGCACAACTGTTGAAGGTCTTACGGTGTTAGGTAATATCTCCCGTGTTGTGGGCTTGTTACATACCACTGTGTACTTCTGGCTAATAACAACATTTTCAAAACAATGATACTCTTGTTAATATATCCTGGTAACTGGGTAACAATGGAAGCTCTCAAGGCAGGAAATTAAAGAGTGGAGAACATAAACCAAAAAAAAGATCTCCTGGTTTATTATAAAAAACACAGCAAGAACAAAGGTGTTAACACTTGAGAGAGAGAGAGAGAGAGGTACAGCGTAGTGAGAGGGTACTGTGTCTGGCCTGAGGTAAACATTACAGAACATCACTAGAGAGATAAATCTGGGGTGACTTGATGCTCGTTTGACCTTGCCTGCCTGTCTGCCTTCTTGCTAGCCACCCCGCCCCCTCCCTCTTACTCACCCTCCCCCCCTTCCTACCTTCTATCTTCTCCTCTTCTTCCTCCTCCCCCTTTCTCCTTCTCCTCCCGTTTTTCACGTTCCATCTTTGCTTCGTTCTCCTCTCACTTTCTACCTCTACCCGTTCATGCCAGTAAGTGTTACACTTGACACGGATGTACTCGCACTCATCAATACACACACACACACGCACACACACCACACACACACACACACACACACACACACCACACACACACACACGAACACACACACACACAAGCACACACACACACACACACACACACACACGTCTAGCATTACAAATTTTCAATACTCAGCAAAGCATACAATTTTACACATGCTCGCAAGCGCTGTCAATAGTCACCATGCAAACACAAACAGATAAACAGGTACATATGGAAGCAACATGCATACGCAGACAGATACAAACTTGTAACTATCATAATAACAAACATGCACACACAGGTACAAACACAAATATCATGCAAGTGCAAACACAACGAAATGTACATACGCTATATGTAGATTCAAGGACACACACACACACACACACACACACACACACACATACATACACTCAAGTCTAGTGATGAACTCAAGTTTGGTGGGTCACTGGTGTTCGGCTTACGTAAAGTATGACGGTCTGATACTCTGATGATAGGGAACCAATAACACCCACAGTGCTCCAACACCACACCCAACCCACAGTGCTCCAACACCACACCCAACCCACAGTGCCCAACACCACACCCAGGCCCACAGTGCTCCCAACACCACACCCAGCCCACAGTGCTCCAACACCACACCCAGCCCACAGTGCCCCAACACCACACAGCCCACAGTGCAACACCACACCCAGCCCACAGTGCTCCAACACCACACCCAGGTGCTCCAACACGACACCCCAGCCCACAGTGCCCCAACACCACCCAGCCCACAGTGCCCCAACACCACACCCAGCACAGTGCTCCCACACCCAGCCCACGGTGCTCAACACCACACCCAGCCCACAGTGTCAACACCACACCCAGCCCACAGTGCCCCAACACCACCAGCCACAGTGCTCAACACCACACCCAGCCCACAGTGCTCAACACCACACCCAGCCCACAGTGTCAACACACACCCAGCCACAGTGCTCCAACACGACACCCAGCCCACAGTGCCCCAACACCACACCTAGCCCACAGTGCCCCAACACCACACCCAGCCCACAGTGCTCCAACACCACACCCAGCCACAGTGCTCCAACACGACACCCAGCCCACAGTGCCCCAACACCACCCAGCCCACAGTGTCCCAACACCACACCCAACCCGCAGTGCCCCAACACTACACCCAGCCCACAGTGCTCCAACACTATACCCAACAGTGCTCCAACCACCCAACCCACAGTGCTCAGACACGACACCCAGCCCACAGTGCCCCAACACCACACCCAACCCACAGTGACCCTACACCACAGCCCACAGTGCCCAACACCACACCCAGCCCAGTGCTCCCAACACTACACCCAGCCACAGTGCCCCAACACCACTCCTAACCACTGGTGCCCCAACACCACTCCCAGCCCACAGTGCTCAGCACTACACCCAGTCCACGTGCTCCAACACTACACCCAGCCCACAGTGCCCCAACACTACACCCAGCCCACAGTGCTCAACACTACACCCAGCCCACAGTGTCCAGCACTACACCCAGCCCACAGTGCTCCAACACTACACCCAGCCCCAGTGCTGACACCACACCCAGCCCACAGTGCCCCAACACCACCCAGCCAACAGAGTCACCCCCACCCCAAGTTAAGATTCGTTTTTGACATAACTGATATTTATTAGCCAAATATGTTTTTTGCTTATGTTTTTCCTATTATAAATGAATTGTTGACTGATGTTTATGTTCTCCTTGAAACCTTTATCGTGGAAACTGGGGATAATCTCCTCTCTTGTCTCCTGAATGAACTACCTAACTCATGTCCTTCCAAAGTCTTTCTATGTTTTGTGTATGCATGCCAGTAGTTGGCTCGACAAAGTTCTCAGTGTAATTCACCGTTTTATGTATAATACTCCCAGTTTTCATATATCGTTGAATTACAGGTACGTGTGTTTCTGTACTCCTATCAGGTACAGGTAATATATATTTCTTCTTAGAGTGTTTTTTGCACCTAATACCTACACTTAGACAACTTCACGACCAAATTGTTGGTATTTTGTTTTCCCCAAATTTGCTTTCGTCCACTACTATTCCAGGTCCTCTAATTTTGTGTTGGTTATCTAACCAGTGTTCACATGCCTCTGAACCAAAGCTTCTCAGTTCACAACACTCAGATGTTATACAGTATGTAAATTTTCTGCAACAAGTCGTTGTCGAAAGTGTTGACAATGAAAGCATTGCAGAACAATAACTTTTTCCAAGGCGTAAGTCGTACTTGCTCGAGCCACGTTCCTTTGAATGCTAACGCAGTGAATCCGCAAGTTTTAACTTTTTTGGCGTGTTCAACTTTTCATGTTCCTGCGCAATACCAGGAATTTCTCTCGGCACGGTAATGACACTGTCTGTCACATTTTGGACACTTTAACGACGTCTGCAATATTTCATGAGCCTTAAATATTTTTATTACCGCTTTGTTGTTGTCGCGTTCACGCTGAATTGTTTCCCAATCTGTCTCAAAACATCCGTTGCATAAGGTTGCCATAATTAAACTGATTACTTCTCGTAGTCGATGATATTTTTGCGCATGCGTAAATCTCACAAGATATTTCAGATGTCCTGTGATTGGTCCAAGATCAGAGAACACGGGTCCTCCCACTCTACCCGCCGTCAAGTTAAAACCGCAATAATACAATACCGAAACAAGTATTCTGACATGGCCGTAATGACCCAGGAGTTGACGGCCAGTAAATCAAATGAAGAAGAAGAAAAGATTGACTGATCATGTGAAGCTGACGTGAAACACTTTCTAATATAAAAGTCCAAGTGTTCTGCGAAATTTAAATCCGTCAATATTATTGTAGCTTGATCTTGTATGTATCTCGTCCTCTACACGTACTGTACTCATGGTCTCGTCCTCTACATGCTGTACTCATGGTTGGTTGTGTATAAAACCATATTTTACGAATATTTTGTTTTCTTGTACAACAGATTTACG